TCACAAGTCTTATATTAGCCCCTGTTAAGGAGCAAATATCTATTGAACTTTAAAATGATATCAGAAACAAATCAACTGATGACACGTCTGCTAGCAACGGCGAGTCAAACTGTACTGAGCGTGCACCCACCCTGCGTGGGAAAGGAGTGAATGGGTGTGTTTCAAATGAGTGAGGCATAGGGTCAAGGACAGTAGCTACATAACGATATGAAAACAATTGCTTTCTGGTTTATGGTCACAGAGCAGTAGGCGGTTATAGTGAGGTCTATTTTTGTTGCACTATGATTCCCTACAGACACCCCTTCAGGGCCCGTTTTCTCGAACGTAAATCGTGGATTAAAGTTAACTATTGTCCCTAGAAGGGGGAATTCTAGGTCACGTGACTGGGAGAGCAGGGTCGCCGAGGGAGGAGCAGTACCTACAAGCAAAATGGCCGTGGCATCGCTTAATGAGGGCTAATAGTTCTGCTTGGTTCTGCTGAACATCCATTTCAATCCGGCTGTTATATTAATGACGCACCGTCAACCTATTAGCATGTCAAGCAAAGCGGTAGTTCAGAGGGACTACTAAACTAATTGACGGCAGCATTCCGGGATCCAAGACATATGACGGTACATAAGCCTTGCAATGTTTTTATGGTGAGTAAAAAAATGTTTTGCGAACGAGTGTTGGTATATATTTATACTAACACGTTTAATTTGTTACACTATGCACGCCAACTCGGGAGCAGCGATTACTTTGCGGAGAAAGGGGGTTATCCTCAATAAAGTCTTCGTTCCGGGTGAACAGCTGGGACATTGTACTGTTTTTTTGTTCGCAGTGCGCCGACAGTATGCCGACAACATCGAGGTTTCTACATATCCCCGGTGGCCAGCAATTCAATGGTGACGAGAAGCTTAGCTTCTCGTCACCGGTGGGTCAGTTGGGCAAACGGAAGAGAGGGCAAGCAGTTGAGATCAGCAGGAATTGCAGAAACGTGCGTCGCAAGGAACAAAAACAAGACTACAGCACAGGCGTTGCCTGATTGGAAGGAACACGGGAAAGTTATGCGTTGTTTATGGCGAAATATATTGAAGGAAATGTTTCTTACATTTTCGAATATTCGTCGACAAACTCTAGCACAGAAGCTAAAATTTCTTAGTACCATCGGAAGCAAATAAATTGATCTTCAAGTACAACATAACTATATTTTGACCAAAAATACCATACTAGATCGATAACAACCAGCGGGAAAAGAGGATAAATAAAATGACTGGCTTGTTTCACCAATAGATGGCGCATCTTATTGCCCAATCAAAAATAATTATTGCTGTTATATATCCAGCCATTTATTACAGTACCTAGGTACTTTTTCCTTCCTAGACACCGTGGTCTACCAAAATGGATTTACCATCGCTTCGAGAAAACCGGCCCAGGTGGGACATTGTCACGTCAAAAAATGATGCTGAAGCATGTACCTTTTGCCAACAAAATATATATGTTTTGCCAAAAAAACAAACAAACAAAAAAAAAAAGCTTTTTTAAAAATTTTTTTAGAGTCAACTTTTGGAGATGGAGACGACCGATGATGGTTAATTCTCAGAAGTTGTCAAAAAAATACATAAAAGTTGTTTGGTCCCACTGAGCACATTGCAATGAGGTAGATTTTAGTGACCAGTGTGGCCACATTTATTACAGTGTCGGACGACAAGTTACATCAAAAGAAACCTTCGTCCGAAAGACATAGCCCTCACCCTTTTTGGTCCCCGTTTCAAAGTCAAATCTCCCGAGCTCTCTCCCGCTGTTCAATTTGTAGACACGTGAGTGATCTCCCTTTCCTGTCTAGGTAGATAACACATGCCCACGCCTCAAGATTGAAAGGTGATGATGAACTAACAGCAGCTTCGTTGAGCTTCCGTGTTTGCTCCGACCCATCACTGCACACTTAGATGACGGGTGTATGTGTAAAGGTGCACGCATCCAGAGAGCTTCTACGCTCGAGCACAGATGCTGCATAGCGTGCTGAGTTCAAATGTTTCATAGGATGCATAGTACCGTGAGAACAACAGAGTGCACTAGCTATAAAAAACACAATCTCTGCAAAGGTAAGCCAATACAAGGGGCCTCTAAGAAAATGCCCCCTCAGCGGACGCTTCTCTTTTCCAGACAGGAAAATGAACAACAGAACTACACAAAATAAATCTCAAACTTAACACTCACTATCATGGCAAATACAGTGGTAATGCAGAATGTACTGTGCATCGCTTTGCAGTAATGGTGCCCGAATGTACTTGGTATGAATTTAATGCTTTGACAGCACTAACATCTCCGCATATAGTCCCTCAAAGAAAGTCCTGCCAAAGCTAGCGCTCCAGTGGAAGTGGGACGTAAAGTTTGCAACTCTCGCGGTTGCACGGCCCAGCTTTGATCCTGCTATTTTACATCTCCCCATTTCCTTTAAAGCATGCGTTTGTTCTCCTTCCGCCTACCTCATGCACATTCTCTTACTATATGTTTGCTGTCTTGTGACGTTTTAAAATCAAGCGTGTGCTGTTGGTGCAGTTGGTTCTGCATCGGAATCACAACTGGAGGGATCCTGGTTCGTTCGGAGCACGACAACTAAACGTTGGTGAATCAATAAGCTACCAGCTGGTAGGTGTTGGTTTTTTTAAAAAAAAAGTGGAAGCCGTATACAACTCCCTGTAACACTGAATTAGAGCGCAGCTCTTGAGGAGGAGGAGGGAAGGGTACTGGGGGGGGGGGGGTCACGTGACCTTGGGGGGGTCACGTGACGATGCCGATGATGCCATCAGTGACGTCACTGATGACGTCATCAGTGACGATGACGATGCGGATTCCGATGACGTCATCAGTGACGTCACTGATGACGTCATCAGCGATGATGGCGATGACGATGCGGATGCCGGGGACGTCATCAGTGACGTCACTGATCACATCATCAGTGATGATGACGATGACGATGCGGATGCCGGTGATGTCATCAAAGACGTCACTGGTGACGTCATCAGTGATGATGATGATGATGATGACGATGCGGATGCTGGTGACGTCATCAGTGACAATGACGTCATAGGGGAGGTCACGTGACCTCGGCGGGTGGGGTCACGTGACCCTGGGGGTGTCACGTGACCTCGGGGGGGGGGGGGTCACGTAACCTTGGGGTGACCTTAATTACGCCGACGTTGACGGCGACGCCGACGCCGCTCAAGCCGGGAACGGGCCCCTAAGAGCTGCGCCCTAAAAAGTGAAAGCCGTTTACAACTCCCTGTAACGCCGAATTGGAGCGCAGCTCTTGAGGAGGAGGAGGGAAGGGTACTGAGGGGAGGGTAGACCCCCTCCTCCTCCTCCCCTCATTCTTTAATATGCTCCGGGGGGGGTCACCTGACCTCGGGGGGAGGGGGGTCACGTGACCTCGGGAGGGGGGGAGGGGGGTCACGTGACCTCGGGGAGGGGGGCCACGTGATCTCGGGGGGTCACGAGACCTTGGGGGTCACGTGACCTTGGGAGGGATCACGTGACCTTGGGGGTCACGAGACCTTGGGGGTCACGTGACCTGGGGGGTCACGTCACGTGACCTCGGGGTGACCTTGAGAGGGGTCACGTGTCCTGGGGATCACGTGACCTTGGGGTGACCTTGGTTACGCCGATGGCGACGCCGCTCATGTTGGAAACGGGAGCCTAAGAGCTGCGCTCTAAAAACAAGCCGTGTTCTTCACACCACATAAGTAAACTATGCATCCCACAAAGCTTCAACTCCACCCAAGTGTAGTGCTACCAGTAGAGTAAAAATTTCAAAAGGCCAAGAACTCAACATGATCTAATTGAAAAGTAAGAAGCTATTTCCAAAAATTTCCAATTAAAAATTGGTGTCTGTTTAGAATAACCAATGCTAACTCTCCATGTATTCGTGAAAAATTAAAGAAAATTGCGTCTATGTTTTGAATCAGACAACATTGAGTTATGGAACTTCCGCTTCTTATCCCTGAAATACCAAGCATGCATCCATGTCACAATAAGTGCCCACCCCCTACTTTTGTCACATTTCAAAAATCGTCAAAGGACATATTTGGCATCCAATCTCCTACTTAAGCCAGTTCGAAAATATGCGAGACACATCACGCGGGCAATCACCTTGGGTGGCCGTTATCTCCGCGACCAATGAACAGCACGGGCATGGTGTGGGTGAAGCGGCTCTAGTGATGATGACTAGACAATGCATAATCAATCCCTTTTTAATTTTTCTCAATTTGGCTTCCTGGTCAAGTGACCAGGAAGCCAAACCAAGCATGGCAGAATGCGCGCTCAAGCTATGGCTGCAAGTGTAAAGTTGCAGAAGCAATCAAAAACGTAATCGTGCAGTGCGCACGGCCAACAAAATTGGGGTTGAGGAATTGTCTAGCCCTTGAACATGTTTCGTCCATCAGATATGCTGATGTCAACGAACATGCTCTGCCCTGCGGTCCGTTTTTGAACGGTGAGATTGTGAAAGTGGTTGGGCTTAGCGATGGTAGCATCACTCTTTTTGTCGAGCGCTGCTGATGCTAAAACTTCGTCGAGCATCTTAGGGCAATTTCTTGTCGGCGAAAAGAATGCCGAAGTTCTGTTTTCACGCACTGGCGTGCTACGCTAGCACAGCAAACAACAGTCATTCTGAGTTTTGTGGTCAAACCAAGCAAGGGACCACCTGACAGTGTGCTCCTGCATTTTCAATCATGGACCTAGCGAGCACCCATCCCCCAGCTTTCCACGATTGGGACCACCTGACAGTGTGCTCCTGCATTTTCAATCATGGACCTAGCGAGCACCCATCCCCCAGCTTTCCACGATTATCTCCCAGTTTTGAGTGGGCACTTGCTTGGTATTTTACGGTGGTGCTACATTTGGCTGAAGTTCAAGCTTACAATGATGGATAGGAGTACTTTATTTTTGTAGTGTGAATATAGAGTTTTCTCTTCTCAGGTTACACCCTGTGCAACATGGGCAGTTCCTGGGGGGCTCACCTTTCTGAGTGGAAGAGATTGAGTAGAAAATGGCCGCCTTGATGACCTTGTCGTCTTCCCATTCGTCGGATGCCTGAGACTCAGCCCGATCCGGCTTATAGCCCACAATTATCCTCTGCATCCAAAAAAGAAAAACATTGAGTGAAATATAGACACTTCAAGGGCCCATAAACATTTTTCAATACTTCACACAGTGCTGCCTGGAGGTAATTCCTGATGTAATATATAAAACATGTTTGTTCTTAGCTTAACCCATGTTTACTCAATTCTAACAAAACCTTACCCTACCTTTGATTATATATCCGATTCTGACGAGCAGGCAATTTTAGGTTATAATTATAATGCAATTAAATGCAAAGGGGCAAGCGAGCTGGACAATAATGATGAAAATAATCCCTGGAGAAGGGGAACAAGAGGGACAAGGGACAAACATAAATCTCCAAACACAGCTAGGTGACTGGTGAGCGACCGAAAAAATCCGCCTGGTCCGGGTATCGAACCCGGGACCTCTCCATTACAAGTGGAGCGCTCTACCAACTGAGCTAACCAGGGGTTAGACGTCAGTAGAGCAAACGGGTTTTATCAGCTGCCACCAGTCTAACACCAACAAAGGTGAAGCTTGCAATTTAATGTTATAATTATAATGCAATTAAATGCAAAGGGGCAAGCGAGCTGGACAATAATGATGAAAATAATCCCTGGAGAAGGGGATCAAGAGGGACAAGGGACAAACATAAATCTCCAAACACAGCTAGGTGACTGGTGAGCGACCGAAAAAATTCGCCTGGTCCGGGTATCGAACCCGGGACCTCTCCATTACAAGTGGAGCGCTCTACCAACTGAGCTAACCAGGGGTTAGACGTCAGTAGAGCAAACGGGTTTTATCAGCTGCCACCAGTCTAACACCAACAAGGGTGAAGCTTGCAATTTAATGTTATAATTATAATGCAATTAAATGCAAAGGGGCAAGCGAGCTGGACAATAATGATGAAAATAATCCCTGGAGTTTAGGTATAGTTTTATCAAAAAAAAAAGGTGCGTATTAGAATTGGGCAAGTATGGTAGTCATTTCAATACTATCTGCATCTGCACACTTTACATTTGCCTCAAAACTGCATCCACAAGCATTAATTCCAGTTGCATCTGCATCCCAACCCTGATTCGTAATATGTTTTTGACGATTTGGACTTAACAGAGCATTCGGTGCATCTGTGTACGTGCAAACTAAGTCCTCCCAACGTCATGCTTGGTGTGCTTTTACATTTCATGATACTGTACAAAAGCAGCAGTGCAAAGCATAAAGACAATACTACTATGTATTGCCAGAAGGATCGTATAAGGCAGGTCAATGTCTGGACAAAAAGTAAATGGCTAGGGGTATGTAGTTCAAGAGGAGGTAAGAGGACCATCAGAAGAGCCTGCTCTATGACCAGAACCATCTCCTAAGCAGGAGGAAAAAATTCCATGGAGCTTTAAAGACTCACAACCTATTTTAACAAACTAATCAACCCACAAATAACATTTCCTTTTAGGGCTGGGAGGCAAGCCTCTGCTAGTTATCGAGACAATGGACATATGCATCATGCATCAGGTAGCCATGGCCTAAAGAACTTTAGTCTTGGGTATCTGTAGCATCTGATATCATCATTTAATGTACAAACATCGGAGACCACATAGTACCTGAGTGCACATAAAATCATTACTGTATCCCATTATGATTTCGGAAATAATAAATATTTCCGAAATTTACACTTAGCGAAATCCACAAAATTATGGGAGCGCAAAAATAAAGTTGTTTGCAGTACAACAAATGTTGAGTTCTTTGAGCCTTCTTTCTATGTTTTTCTCAAAGAAAAGAATGCGGTGTGACGGCCTAAAACACGTTGGAGAAGGAGACAGCGGCAAAGCATCGGCTTAGCGTTTCCGGCTAAGGTTGGCACAACAATATACGACCCTCTTTTAAAGGAAACAAATGCTGATAATGAAGATGGTTCAGTAAGGGCCATGACCATGAAAGCTCTGCTGTGCGTCTCCGAGACACCCTCGGTATCCTCACACAACTCCTCAATAAGCAAAAAAAGAAAAATGGTTCACAATACATTTGAGTTGTTCTCAATTGTTAGTGACATATCTGCACTCTTGAACATACACCATGCCACCAAAACATAGCTTGGCACATAAAAAGAAAAGATGAAGAAATATCTTCATTGACCCTTGAGCTGACAGTGCTCTGGGAGTTACGAACTCGCTGAACCAATCAACCACCCCCCTTTCATTGATGCCGCAAACGTTTTGCGAACCCGAGATTCAAAGATCAGACCAGGGGGTGCGAAAGATTCGCAAAGTTTCCAAATGTCGAACTTTACACAAGAAGTTTGACAATTTTTGCACTTCCGAATTCTTGGTGCTGAAAAATATGATTTTTTCAAACTTCCACTCTTTTTGCGCTATGAAATTCGACATTTTCAACCTTTCAAATTTATCACGCTAAGAAGTTTGACGATTTTCGAACTTGCGAAACTGTTAAGTTGAAAAGTTGGACAAACTTTTAACTCCTGAAAAGACATTAGACAAACTTCGAACCAAGTTCACACCCATCAATTCAGGGTTACAAATATAAATAATGCAAGATATCACCAAGGCATGAAGTGGTGAAAATTGGACTTAGCTGATGGTGCCCCAAACAACTCGCTTTTAAACCACCAAACGATTGGTCAAACGTCTAGTTTTGTTCAAACCGCTTTTGATTCTGTATCCAACAGTGTGTGAAAGCAACGCCGATGCCCAACAACCTCGCCGTGACGTGTCACAGCTATCGCTTTGACTGCACTGTGGGTTAACACAGGACTGCTCAATCTTCTTTTTCGCCTTCTGCACAAAGCTTTTCTCATAGGTTGCCCTAAGGTAACCCGTGGCCCAACAGATCCCTAGATCCCTAATTTGCAGGCTCAAAGTTCAACCAAGGCGCTTCGCTGGGGAGTCCTTACTAGCCCCAGTTTCCTTGAGTAAACGGTTGGTTGGGAAAAGGCGGGCAGATGCGCTAAAGTGGACGCTGGATTCGCGCTTATTTCATTGGCATTAGTAGCCGGCTGCATTTTAGGGCAATTAATATCTTCATTAATCGAAGAAGAAATGTTTCAGACAACGTGAATATAGTTAGCCCGATGACAACTGGTCGTGACCTGATCAGATTTTTGGGGGCAATGTTTTTCTCACCCCCAAATCACCCCACCAAAGAAAAAAAACAAAACAATGCCCACAGCAAATACAAGTTTTCAGGAAGCCTGGATGGCTTTAAGTGAATGCATTGACCTGTATATTTAGTTGCCTTATGCCAGCATTGCATGCAGGCAACGTTTGATCGGAGTGCTACTAGTTTGCAAAGAAGTATGTTCACCTGACCGCATCAGGGCTTTTTGATGAACCGTTCAACCAGTTCAACGCTTGTTTCATACATTACAACAAAAAATGAGTAATACAGGTAACGTTTTCAGTAAGAATATTTTCACAATTTTTTTAGATGACTTTATAAAAACTTAGTGTGGAATTTGATCTCAGTTCGTGAAATTCATGTTCAAATTTCGCAGTTCGTGAAAACGAACTGCGGAATCTGATCTCAGTTCGCAAAAATCAGACTTCAAACTTTTAATCGAAAGTTCCAAACTTTTTGAACTTGCACCTAAAAAAAAATCAAAATCTTTGAATTCAGACTTTCAGAAACCTTGACATTTTTTAATTATTCTAATTCGAACCTCAGCAAGGTTCTAGAGTTGCAAAATTTTCATATTCGAACCTTAGCAAGGTTAAAAGTTTTCTAACCTTTTGAACTCAAACTTCGGAAGGTTTGCGACATCCCTGCTTTAATCTCCTGACCCCGCTCCCAGCATGCGTGTATGGATGGAAGCATAATCACGTGGCTAAAGGTAGAAATAGGACTGGTCTGACGAGCAGGTAGCTTCTGCCGTACTGTCAGCTTAAGAATGAAATGAGCACAGTCCTTCCCGAAAAGACACTTGTGAGCCCATCACAGAACCACCTGAATCTGAGTCAAACGATAGCAATAGCTCCTTTCGGTGCTTATTTCCTGCCAGTGTGACTAATCCCTGCTGTTTAGAATTGGGGGATTACAGTCGAAGCTCGTTATAACAGACCTTGATTTTTACCAAGATTTCGGTCTGCTGTAAGAAGAGTATGTTATATGCAGATATGAAGTTGAGTCAATGGTATGTAGAGGAAAACTAACTGAACTTCACAAATCGGTATGTTATATCCAAATGTCTGTTGTAACCAGGTCTGCTATAATGAGCTTAGACTGTATAAGCCGCTTAGACGCTTAGCATGCAAGAAGGATGTAAAGAAAGGAGAAGAAAATTGGAGGGGGAAACGAAGGAAGGGAGAGAAATCTTCTGTCAGGAAGAATGTATTTTTGCACGTCGGGCTTTAAGGAGCGCTGGCCCAGAGCTACCACAGATAAAGCCAATTGCACCTTCAGAAGAAAACTTTCAAGGCACGTTTTTTCATTATATGGAATCCAAGTCCAATACAAATATCAATTCATTTGTAAAAGCGTGTAAAGAACGGATATCAAAAATAAAAGATAAAGATGTTAATGTAGGCATTTCCTCTTCTCTGGAATATTCGATGATCTAAAGATTGATCTATGTTGACGTAAACTAGGTGTAAAAAAAAACACTTAGAAAAATGAAATAAACTGGGCTGATGAAGGAAGAATTTTGGTGAACCTGACAATTCATTTAACTGAATTCCCAAACAAGCTAAGTTATACTCTCAGTGATGTGATTGGCCTAAGCCGTTTTGGAGCACATTTTGGAGCAGCCCAAACAGTGTTTTGGAGCAGCATAAGTGGCTTTTGGAGCAGCCAGAACAGTGTTTTGCAGCAGCATAAGTGGTTTTTGGAGCAACCAAAAGAGTGTTTTGGAGCAGTATAAGTGGCTTTTGGAGCAGCCAAAACAGTGTTTTAGAGCAGAAAAAGTGTTTTTTGGAGCAGATATTCTTCGAAAAATAAAGAACAAATATTCGTTTTAAGTGCTGGACAAAGGAAGGGCACTTTGCTCGACGCAATAAACAAATTATGGTCGAGTTAGACCACCTGGGAGTCTTTCCACATGTAACTGAAATGCCAATGACATGACACATTTTGCCATGCTTCAGTTAAATGGTACATATATATGTACCCGCTAGAGATAAATAAAAACCAAACTGCACATATAAAATTTATTTGAAAATGACCAGCTCAGTAGTAAATATCGCACCATTAGGTTTACTAGGTATATGATATAATAAATGAAAGCAGCCTCCAAATCATGAAACACGTAACTACTGCAGTGCAATGCGAAATCGTATACACAAGACAAAGGTGCATTACGACTAGCGGGTACTCTTCTTTTTGCTTCTCTAAACTTTCTGCAAGGCTGCTGCAAGCCTCGCTTTGCCTTCGGCTAGTAATGAATGTCCACTTTCAATTTCTTCAAAGAGATATTAAGACGTCCCACAAGCGTACAGTGATGTAGGCGTGGCCGAGCAATTCCGAAAAATCGCTTGCCACCTTTTTACTGTTTCCCGACGTGCAAGATTTTCGTCAAAAGTAAGCAAATGCCAACGTAAAAAAAAATGGATTGCCAACGATTGGCTCGTGCCCCTGTCGTGCAATCATGTTCACATGCACATGAGAGAAACTTCGGCAGGCTTGCAGTTGCACGTGCTTAGTTGCGCGAGCGGAGACAACGGCTGTTCAATCGAAACCGAAACCACACCACTCCGCTCAGAGTGGTGTGGTTTCGGTTCCCGACAGTGTATACAAAAGGTAACTGTCCAGCATACGACTAAAACAGTCCAGCGGCACGTGCTTGCCAGGCCGGCAGGGGAGGTACAACCTAAACACACAGAAAAAAGAACCTGAGCATAACGATGGAGGACATCGCGAGCCAAGTTCGAAACGTTCTGGGAGCGCTTTGTGAAACGACTGAACGCGAGACAAACAAGCGCGCTGTGCGGGTTCAGCGTGCAGACATTGCCTTCTTTGCTTAACTCACTCCTCTTCAACGTTCTTTCGCGGCAGATTTTTCGCGTACGTTTCACGTTTCAGAAAGCCCATCGAGAGAAACCTAGGTAGTGAATACTTCGACACAGAAGTCTTTGAGTTAAAGAGGGATTTCTGTAGTACTAGTAGCGTATGATTTAAACAAGAACAATAATGTTGAACATGCGGCGGTCCTTACGTTTCAGTTTAGAAAGCGCTATATTGGCAGCGACGTGGGGACAGCAACACCCGACGTCGCGTGACGACGGTGACTGGTAGGCAGGGACCAAATCTGGTTTTCCCACGGCTGTTGCGTTCAGGAGCGAGTGCTTCAGCTCACAAAGTAACTCCTACCACGCAAAAACGTGGCTTCGTTTCACAGCATAACGGCATGGCTGGTACCCGGCACGCTAGCGCCGGAGCGCCCGCACACACCCGCGTCTATCGTTGAAACATTTTTAAAAAGACGCGAGACGAGACCCACGAGACGACGAGAGTGCGAAACGCAAGACGGCGGGAAAACTATGCAAGACCGGATGGATCATTGATGCAGGTTACTTCGGTTTTGAAAGACGACCGAAATCGGTCCTTTGGCGCAGGCTTGGCGCAGATTACCCATATTTTGGCAAAATGTAGCAGGATGTAGCAGGGTTAGCCCCTTGGTGCAGTTTGGCGCAATTGGCGCAGCAATCACATCACTGTACTCTTCTATGGGCACAGCCTTATCAAGAACAGATATGTGTCTGAATGTGCTGACTCCACAATTCTTCAGTTTCTCTTGAAGGTCTTGCAAAACGTGAAAATCAAACAAGAAAAATTATATTTTGCAGGTAAGCAAGGATGTTGGTAAGAATTACCTCGAACGAGACGGAAACATAAAAAAAGAGGGCGTGCACAAATCACACACTAAACGTTTCAGAGAAGTGAGAGCGCCACGTGCATGACTGAGTTGTCAGCCCACACGACTGCCATGCAGAGGAAATGGTGACTTTGCTTTCCGTTCTACTTTGCTGCCTTCGTGAAACATTCCAGCAGAATCCCTTATGTGTTCTTGTCTAGAACGTTCTCAACGGCTTGCTCTTACACTGCTGCTGCAGTGTCTATGGCGTCTTTCTTGGTATAGTGCACACTCTGTCTCATTAAATGTTTATTTTCAGTCTTAAATTCACCTGCTTTTTCTATTCATGTCCAGAGAAGTGAGAGAGACGGCAAGTCACCTGGATGGAGGCCGAGATGGAGTTGGTGAGCGCCGTGTGAAGCACCACGATGGGTTCACCTGGCATGCAGCTGTGGGTGATGACATAGCAACGCCGGTACGGACCCACCCGGCGCTTCAGATCCGTCCAGTTGCGGACGGGGTGCACGGCCTCATAGTCCGAGATCTGAGAAAAGGGGCGGAAAGCGCAGAGCACAAATCTTACGAAACAAACATGCCCTCACCAAATACCTCTAGACAGATCTGCCGAACGATTTATGCCTCTGCCAAATGTGCCAGAATTTTAGAAAGCCGTATCAGTTTGCACATTATAGGGCACCACATTTTTTAAATTTAGTTCTGGTAAAATGCCAAAACTGCTTTCTGCAGCTTTATGCTTTATTATAAATTCAGCAATTAATAAAGTTTACGCCTGAAGGCAAGAAGTCTCTTTTCGAAATGAAAGCCTCTGTTGCTGTTTGAACCCAAGCATCAGCATTTAGTTTCATACTTCAAAATGCCAATAAATGCTAAGTTTAAAATTACTTAGAGCTCAGCATTTATTGGACCTTATTTTTGTTATGTCCCTAATTATCCATGATTATAAATAAAAACAAATGTTATTGATAACAAAACATATTGAAAGAAATGGGAAGCTATATAAATTGTCAGCAAAATTACTAGAAATCTATGGGATACAGTCTCCACAGACAGGCATGTAGCCAGGGGGGGGGGCCATGGGGCCCGCCCGCCCACCCCCAAAATCTTCCATTTTGTTGGGACCTCCTTTTCCCCTCCCCCTCATACAGCATTTCGTCATGGGCGGCGGCCCCCTCCTCTCCTGTCCCCCTCCCCCCGAAACGAAAATCCTGGCTACGTGCCTGTCACAGATATAAAAAGACTGCCTCCTCCTTCCTGCATGAAACCCAAAAAGTTTAGTCTAAGCTCAAAGTATCAACAGTGGCTAGCATGACCACGGGCTTACACCCTGTCTGACGGGCATTCAATCGCATTTGTGCTGGGGGCCTGCACATGCTGCTTGTGATGTGCAGAACTAGGCAATCGAGGGATTCGCCACTCACACAAAGGCCTTTGGCATAAGTGACATTTGAAATGCCTATGTGAGAGGGGTATTAAAGTGGCTGCTGTTGTGAACCCCAAGATATATCAATGTTGATCAGTTACCCTGAACAGGCAGTGGTGCTAAGCCTCTCTTTATCAATCCTGCGAGGCTAGAAATAGTACTCGACTGGCCTCATCTTAGTGAAGAACACCACCGACCTGGCACTCTACCCAGACAAAACTGAAGTGTCTTGGGCTGTTTCTTCACAGTGGTCTTGAATATACAAAACTTTACAAATAAATCTCCCCCCTTTCCAAAAAAAAATTAAAAATGAATGGGGAGTGTTTTCTGGTTTTATCAAAAAACATAAAACACTAATTATAGGGTACCTATAGAGATGCCCTTTGTTGCCATACATTCCTTGCATTTTCGACCTGTGACACTGCTGCCAGATTCTAGAATGTATGAGTTGTCTCCATGTCTGATATTTCTAAATGCACCTTTCTTTTTTTTTCATCTGGGTATTTGTTATTCTTGTGTAGCTCTTAGACGAGAGTGAATGAAATTTAAATATGCTGTATAGATAGCCAGTCTAGACATCTGAAGAAGAAGTCATTCTGTCTCTAAGTACAGGCCAATTTCATCCTGACAAATCATCTCAACTGTAGAAAGATGATTTGGCCATTGGTGGACAATTAAATATTACTCTGGGTATTTAATGTGCATCAAACAGCAGTGATCACTGTCTTTACCCAATTATAGTTCCAGGCTTCCTTTCCTTTCAACACTTCTCTCTCTCTACCCAATTATAATGTGCACCCAGTTTTAATGGTTGAGAGTAATGATTCTAACATGGGTTTCATATTCAATTCTAATGTGCAGGCAGCTTTTAGGTACATTTTCCAAAAAAAAAAAAAGATGAGCATTAGATACGGATAAGTAGGGTAGATGATGCATGCTTATATAATGCCCACTTATATGGGAAATGACAGCAGTTATGTCTGGCATATGACCTCCAAGTATGCAGTAAAGCACTTGCTCCAATTGCAGCAATGCTGCGACACATTTAGCCACCAAACCTTCTTAAGACGACGGCAATGCCATCTGTTTCTTATGTTTCCTCTGTGATGTCTCTTCTGCTTCCCTTCCATAGTTCCTCAAAGCAGTGGATGCCTATCTGAAAATGGGTGATGTCACCAACAGGCGACTTGCCAGAAATTTAACTGAACATAGACACCCTACATCTCAGAGAGCATGCACCAATTTTACTTCAAGAAATTGAAAATAAACAATTAACTGGATACTACCACCCCCCCAAGGCTGTAAGCAAAACATTGTGTGTGTGAAACAATAAGGTAACCAGTTTTGTGACAAGCTATAGAATAAAGTAGGCAATCTGTGTCTTTCCAAGGTTGTTCCAGGTCTAGGGAACTTTACCTTCTGTAACATCTCGCAGGAAGACTGCCAAGTGATGCGCTCCAACTTCATGAAGCCAACGGTGAACCAGAGCGATAAGAGTTCCTTCAAAATGGTATTCATGTGTCGAACGTCGTAGGAGGAAGGACTCTCCAGCTGCGACGACGAGATTAGATCCTGTGGGAAGTGTGAGAATGTGGGGAATAAATCTTGAATTAGCATATCGAACATTCGCGAAGTGATAAAAAGAGAGTCAATTTGAGCATGTCAGGGGTCCAGATGTGCTGCCTCTACAATTTGTCTAGACATCCTTCTAGTCAGAATATAATATTACTGGCATCATACTGGCAAGCCATAGCTAGGAAAAAACCACATATAATAAGCATCAATGTTTTGTCAAGTTCCTTTGTTACATGAGTAGTTTGTTGTCAGTAACCCAAGGATCACATACTATCAAGGGGTACTCCAGTGATCTTGTGAGCTACACCAACTACTGTCAAGACTGGACGAACTGGTTATAACGAAATAACGGCTACACCGAAGCGATCATGATTTCCAATTCCCATTTGCACTTTTTCAAGGCATTTGTGTCTGATTTTAGCGAAGGGAATTGAGTGGCTCTTGTGGATATAGCAGAGAGAAATTTTGTGATAACTTAGAAAAAGAATAAAATTAGAAAGTTTACTAAGTCTCGGATCGTCGCACTGCGTTGTCGCGGCCAAGAATCCACCCAGAACAGGCTGCAGAAGATGCTGGAAAGGCCGCCCGTGGCAACCTCTGCAACGTCGTCTGCTCCCCGCTCCTTACCTGGGAAGCGGCCTTACTGCATCACACGCGGAGAAGCCGTCGTGGCATGTTGATAGGGGCAATCGGAGCACTAGCGACAATGTTCCGGCGAAGATGATGCAGAGATGCTAGATTTAAAACAGGAAGCAGTAAGTATGCCTGCATTTGATTGTCCCGTGGCCTGTGTGGCGAGAAAACTGGGCGGAGAGGCGGATACGTTTGCAGAAGGTGAACGCTTCTGAGTTTGGACTCCTTGCGTGCTGCAGCTGCCTTTGCAAATGCGGCCCACAAACCACGTGACCCAGATCGAGCAGTTGCCCCATTTCTTAAATCTAGGCTCTCTTTATCGACGACAAACAAGCTTGAGCGTGAACTCGGTGCCGTGCGCGCTTCTTTGTTTGCTTCATGATCCGTGTCGGCGTCTGGTCGGTAAAGTTGCTCTTGCGCGAAAGTCTACTTCGCTCAAGCATTGATTCGGTGAATCATCGCCACTCAACAATGGAGAGTCCCGGCACCGCCGGCATTTTGACAGGGAAGACGAAGGCAATCTCCTTGATTCAAAAGTGTGCCATCCTCGACAGAATGTGCATACATGTAAAAGAATGTTGTTCACCGCCGGCTTCCTTCGCGGGGCTGTCGCAGCTGTTGACATGGTCCGTACGTAGCAGAATCTTTTTTCGATAGAGTTTCTCGCAGTTGGCGAGAAGCGGCTCTGATCTAGCAGAGGACGCGTGCAGGGAAGCCTCGACTGCTTTCTGCAGGCTCGATAAACATGTGCCCGTGACAACCCATGTTATCTTTTTAATGCGAAAGCATTAACTGTCTCATGGAGCGAGCTGACATCATCAGTTGGAAGCGCAAAAACGGCAGATAGTTTCCGCGCGCCTTCCGTTCCATTGGCTGGCGTGCGTCGACAGGGCTCCCATTGGCCGCTGCGCCATGGCCTCTGAGATCCCGAAGCACGCGCGCGCTAGTACGCAGCAGACGACAAAGGAAGCGGACGATCGGCTTTCATGCTTTCGCATTCACAACTCATAAGGAATGCTTAAGTGTACCTCGAGTTTTTTATTTTTTTTTCATATTATTTGTATGAGTTCATATATAACGAAGAAACGGATATAGCGAAGCGATTTTTGATTCCCGTTGACTTCGTTATAACTGGTCTTGCAGTAACTATATTTTCGGAATCCCTATCCTTTACCCTTTCCGGTATGCTATTTACCACCGCGAAATTCGGAATAGTTATTGTGAAATCGGCAAGTGAAAATGATGTCAAAACCAACATTCTAATATACCCGAGCTATTCAGTGTCGTGACATCAGGGGAAGGCAGGCTTGCAGGTCAAGGGGCAGTCTAGAAATGGACTATGTCGAGGATTTGTCTCAAGCTGCTGCGCAGGTGCTGGAGCAAGCTTCCAAAGCATTCATTTGACACTACTGGCGACGTGAGCGATCGAAAGTGTCACTGTGGTCGGCCCACCACAATTGGCCGAATGCTGACTATGACGTCAGCAAAGGATGTGTCATCGACGGAAATAAGAGGAATGTAAAAACTTCAATTTTGACGGTGTTGGCAGTGTTGCTTTGAGAGCGCTATAATTTCAGGCTTCCACCTGCTCATTACAAACACCATTGAACTTGTTGTTCACAAGGTAATGACGTCACGAAAGGTAACCAAACGAGGGCGCCACCGAAACATCTCGTCACTAATAAAACTACTTGCAATCAGCTGAGAACAAAGTCTACAGTTCAAGGAGTGAAACCCTGACGTCACTTTTTTATTGTTGCCAGTAGAGACTTTAACCTCAAAAAATGCGATGAGGACCAAACTTGTAAATTAAATTCCGTCAAAAAAAAAAAAAAAAAAAAGGCCCAATATTTAAGTTATTATTTTAGCAATGTTTGTTGGTGTGTTTAGCAAATCTTGAGGCAAATCGGGGATTATGAAGAAAACACCGAAGCATTCCTTTAAGTGTGTTAAAAAAATAAAGGCATAAAGAACTTGGTTCATATAAGAGATCTTCTTTTACAAAAAAAGTTCTACTCTGTCATCGACATACCCTGAAAATTTGAGGCATTTTAGAAATTTTTAGCATTGGAAGATTTCCTCTCTTAAAGGGATACTGAACCGAAATTTGGATTTCGCAAAGTACGGCTGCAGAAGTGTTGAACCGGACGCTACGAACTCCAAAACATCACTCGTACATCGATATCTCAAACGGATGGCCGTACTTTTGGAGAAGAAGGGCGCGATCAAGCGAGTTCTTTGACGTAACTGTCCTCCCGGAGAATTTGAGAATGAGGAGAAGCGGCCTCGCTTCTCTCCTCCTCGCTTCTGTTCACCAGCTTGACGGGACGTAGCGAGGAGGAGAGAGAATGGGCATCGTGACGTGCCTTGTCTCGTCGGCCGGGTTCAATCGCGCACTTCTTTCCCGAAAAATACGGCGATCCGTTAGATATATCGCCGTATGAGTGATATTTTTTGGTTTTGCAGCTTCCCGCCTATCGGCCCGGCCTTGTTTAGTGAGCTCAAAATTTCGGTTCAGTATCCCTTTAATGTTATGTTAAGAAAACCTAGCCTCATAAAGGGGTATCCACACGAGAGAGAAATCTCTCCCTTTTCTCCTCAGGATGCGCATCACGTGGTAACAACGTCAAGCTTTGGCGCATAGGCACGCTCTACTAATCATCGCCGCCCGATCGGTATGCGCTCCGCTCGACACCCAGGGAGTAACATAACACAGCCCGTCACCTGCCAACAATAGTGGTTGGCAGGTGACGGGCGGAGCGCATACCGATAGGGCGGCGATTATTAGTAGAGGGACTTCCGTAAAGAACCCCACAAACATAAGATATCTTTGCGATTGGAGGTGTTTTGTTTGCGTGTCTGGCAACTTTACAGATTTTGTTCAGCCAGATACCAGCGGTGGCAAGAACATGCTTTAGTGGCACCCTCTCCCCCGTCGACACAAAGTGCGGCAGCCGTGAGCGCTCGCTGCGCTCACTACCCCTCCTCTATTTCACGGCCACTCAAGCAACCAAGGACGTCATGAAGGAGGTGGTTTTTTGCTTGTTTTTGTAATCTTAATTTGCCTATAACTTTTAAAATAAAGCGAAATTCGAGAAAAGAAAAGTTTCATTAAGTTACTACATTCAGTGCACTCAGGTTCGGTGCAAATTAAAAACCAGCAAAAAGTCCTTGCAGGGCCCCTTTAAAGGGGTAGGGAAACGAAATTTCAGCGCTCATTTTCTAGCTTTAATGTGTTGCATGTTGCACCTTAACCTCGAAAACACCAGTCTTCCGTTGAAAAGCACGAGAAAACTAATTTTAAAGCTAAATAAACAATCTTCAATGTGCACCTGGTGGATGCATGCAAAGCCTGTTTGGGAGGTAGTCTAGCAACGTTGTGGAATCTGCTACGTAGTCGTGACGTAGCAGATTCCTTCGGAGCAGCGCTGCTCTTTGGCATTTCAACGTTTTCCTCCTCAACTCACAAATCGCGCATTGTACCAAACCTACCAAACGGTCCAAGAAGACGGAAAGGAAGGACTTCCCTCTTTCTCGGACCGTCGTTCGTTCAACCGGAAACAGCCATTCTCCCCCTAGAAGATTAGCCCGTCGCTCAAAACTCGAACAAAAGTACCTTTCCCCACCTCGTTCAGTCCTAAGATGACAGTGTTGTGGAAGCTACGTGCTCCTTGGGCCAGCCACACGCTCGTCACCCCAAGGGTACTTCGAACAGCTCGGTTGTAACGTGCTTACGCTATTGACAGCACCACAACGCTGAGAAACGCCACCAAGGGCAAAGCTCATAATCACGCCAGCCTTGCTACGTCACGAACGCGGGGAATCTTTTCTTTTTGTTTTTGTTTGTGCCGGATATCTCATGATGCATTGCGCTCTCCGTTCGCTTCTCTTCGAGCGCTTCCTCGAGTGCACCGTTTGGCATGAAAAATATAGCCAATCGTTCAAAATACAAACGTGTGATTATCATTTACGGTTATTATCCGTCATGCTTGACTCATTTCCGAATGAAATTTTAATATTTAAATTTTTGTTTCCGTACACCTTTAAGAGAGAAAGAAAATAAATGAATATTATAAAGAGTTTGGCAGAATGGTGCCGGCTATACCAAATGGTTCGGAGCTTTGGCTGCACCACACATAATGCATAAAAGGAAGCATGATGATGAACTAACCTGGGAGGAAAAACAAGCACTTGCGAGTAAATAATATCAAAACAGCATAGCCCACCAAGGGCAATAGTGTTATTAGGGAAGCATAACATGGTGAAGCCATATTAGCTGGCTTAAGAGTACATGCCGGAGTGATAAAAAGTGCCATGGGGGGAGCACTGGGTGCAGTAAGTGGTTTGGAAGGAAGTTAGAAATTAAAGTTAATAAAATAATCTAGAAGGGAAGGTCCCATACATCTCGGCTGCTTCGGAATGACGGGGCATGGACGTGAACGTCAGTGGTCCTGATAGGACCCTATTGTAAGCGATGCTTTGGTATACACAAAGCAAGAAAACATCACTCGCTAGGTCTATATCCGGTGTTTTTCTAGCTTTATTTTGAACAAAAACAATGGCATCATGCATCGTATAAAAGTAAATAATGTCGATGAGCACTCGAGCAACTTCAACTCATTGCGGCAAGATGGACACAAGTAACTTATCGTCTGCTATTGTTTTTTGCTTTTTTATCGCTTTCTCATTCTTTTTCTTGGGGGACCACTGATGACAGCGCTTATGATATGCTGCATTCTGCTCCCGTCTCCACCGCCTGGTTAGATTGCACTGCCATTATTCCCTATTATCAAACTGTAGAAATCCGTTTCATGGCTTAGCATGTCGAAGGTGTCCCACATGGCACTTCACTTCGGCTGGCACTCAGCTGAGCCAGCTCACGTTGCCGCCCCATTAAATGCCGGTGAGCCACTCACCAGAAGGTCTTCTCTCATGTCCACAAGGAACTTCACTCCGCCTTCACTTCGGCCAAGGATGTGGAAGAACGAGAGGTACTTTGGCGTGAGGAGGGTGCTCAGACGTTCTTCGTCTCGGAGCCTGAAGGCAGATTCCTCCACCTTGACAGAAAGGCAATGTCGTCTGTCGCTAAGTATACCTTTGCTATGCTCCGCTTCACTTTACGATGGACCGCAGCCGACACTATGAGCCATCCCAGCCAATCCAGCACCGTCAGTGTGACCACATGCCCCGCGAATCGCTGAGCCCCTCCCAAAGGTCATGCGACACTCACATGACATGGGACTGGCTTCAAAGGCTGGTAGCGTCCTCACCAGCCTACCGTGAAACAGTACACACCCACGAACAACTAAAGCTGAGAACATGAAATACCGAACCCAAGACCCAAAAAAGTAGAAGACAGCAATACTAATCCATAGGTAATCCAGCGTAAACAGAACGAATATCATTAATATCTATAGATGTGACCACGCAACTCACTTGCAAGCATAACCTAAAATATGACTCCAGCAACAAGATACCTTTTAACCGTGAACCTCCATAACCCAAACCTGCCAGCCTCACTTAGCAGGGCTCAAAAATCATGCGATAAACCCATCTTAATACTGTAATCGTGGCATCCTGCAACAGCGCAAATACGGATTATACACGCTAGTCAGCCATTCGGTTTGCCATATCACCTACTACAGCCTTGCTGTTGACTGTGCGCCGTGAAGACTACCTGATAAGGGCCGTGCGGGCCTAGCTCAGTTAGAGGTGCCTTGGCTGTGAAAGATGACGCAAACCTCAACCCGACAAGGGGCCAAAGTATGCCTTATCTCCTCAATCCAAAACAGCCGCGTAAAGGTGTCGGTACACTTGATCCATTAAAAAAAGCTGGTGCTGCTCAATTTACCTGCCCGGCCCACGGCCCATGCAGAGCATTAGAGTACGCCCCACCAGCGGCGTAGAGTTTCCATTTTCCTGGGGGGGGCAGGCTGAGAAGTTCTCCGGGGAGGGCAGGGGGGGGGGGGGGGGGGGGGGGGGCTTTTCCGCACATTTTTTTTTTGCACCGACAATTTTCAGTAGTTTATTTTAGGGGGTACATTTTACAGCGTATGTATGTCGCCATGTGCCTGTCGCTATGTGCGTTATTTTTTTTACATGCCACTACTAGAAGCTCGTTACATGGTACGTAGACAGCGTCTTGGTAAGGATGAGACAAACAACTTGTGCATTTACTCTATAGACTTACACGGGTGTCCAGGTAGTGCCTAACTGCAGACTCAAACCGGTCCCTGTTTATGTAGAACTCCTTTGCCAGGTGCTGCAGGAATGCATATCTTTCACCTTTTGTTCCCTGCTTGTAGATGGAGCAGAAGGTTTTCAGTTTGCTCTGAAACATAATGCAAAGTAATCTTTGAGGAATACCACACAATTGAATATTTTTTTCTGTAATCAAAATGTCTTTAGCTTCGTGGCAAGCAATATTCTACTTGGCACAGCGTTTAACTATGGCGAATCTGGCAGTGCAGAAGTGAAGAATATCAGATGTGGAAGCTTGTCACTGACCTCTCCGTGGCTCGTCTCCTTGTATTCAATGATGGAGCCTGTTAGAGCTTTTAAGTCCACGGTTTTCATGTCAATCTTAATGTTTGACGTCATCCTTGCCCCGGGTACATACTTGAAAACATTTCTTCTGAAGAAATACGAAAACTGTAAAATCAAAAGGACATCATCACTTTCTCCTAATCTAAGAGTGTTAAAGTTGAAGAACCGCTATTCAACCAATTGACATGGAAGCTTGCAGTTTTGCAGCAACCTCGTAGAAAAAAAAATACAGCGATCTACTAAAAGCATTCGAAACAGGGTAGCTCGCATCACTGTGGAACTGATCTCCAGGATTATGCGAACAATCGTGGCTCTTCTCATTTAGCTCTAGGTTAACAGCAACGTTACCATTGGTTAGCCTGTCGAGGTCTTGGCTAAACTGACACATACTGATCCGAATACAGACAGTTGACAGTTGTCTTTTCGACCGCCAGGTAATTTCGTAACGCAACTGTTTTCGAGAGCAACAGCGCAACTTTTGTAGATTTAGCTCCATAAACCAAATATAAAAGAACTTGTGACGAAATGGTTCGATACAAACCATTATATCACAGCTGATTGGGAACGCACTGTCGTAAAGCTCATTCTGCGATGACGTTCATAGATTTGCTGGGTTTTCTTGCTGGACTCGTGGGTAGAAATAGACGTGCACACCACACCACCAATATCGGCCCCAGTTCTTGCGTTCTTAACTAATCTGTGCGATCAAGCGAGGAATAACTAATTACGGGAACAACTACACAGTTGCACTCTAGAGCCGCAACCTGAAGAATGGGCCCATAACAAGCTAGGCAGCTGCAATGCTATCGCAGCGAACATCTTGGATTGTCTACGAATTGGATCTAGTAAAGAAGGTAGCCACAACAATTAAAGTTCCGATTTCATTTTTGCACCTGCGATGCATGCAGAAATTACACGAGACCAAAAATAAAGAGCCTACTCAATATTTTTATCTGACAGTGCAGAAGAATCGAAGAATGCGTATGCGTAACCTTGATCGGCGATCAAAGTTATGCCATATGGTTATGCACACGCATTCTTCCTCACTGCCACTAAATGTTATCCCGCGGGGATACCGGGCGAGTCAAAGCGATCGTCAAAATATCAGTTCTTTTATTTTCCGCTCAAAAAACAACAACAACAACAATAACAAAGAATACAGCTGCATTGTAAGTGCCTGCTAAGGGATTATTTTGTTTGTGAAAATATCGAAGAAACCTGTCTCAGTCAATAAGTACAGATGAAAAATAAAAATGCTCCCGTGGACCGATATTTCAAAGATATACGTGAAATATACGTGGAGTACACAAAAACTATATACGCCGGCTATTGAAAACAGGCCCTGCGAAGCATGCGATCTGAGAGTGCCCTCGCATCGGACCGCGCGCATTTTCTGCGACTCTTCAGCGCACCAAGAATGCTCACTTTAAAACCACCGTTCACGTCTGTGCCGTCAATTTCTTTCTTTCTGACCACCCTTGAGCACATCGTAAAAATAATTAATTTTCTATCCGTGTTTTTTTTTTTTTTTTTACGCTTTATTTACGTTTTATTTACACCCCATTGACGTCCAATTCACGGTACTGCGGTAGCCTCTATTTGGTCATATTTCTAGCTTTATAACTTCAAGTGCACAAAAAGAAATGCAGCATGTTGTTTACAGATTCTGTTAGTACCTATCATTGGCCTTTATGTTGGAGAGTGTTTGCTTTAATTGAGTTTCAAAATAACTCCTAAATATTAAAATGGCCCCATTTGAGCATTTGTTATAAATTTGTTACGCTACCCCAGGACAAGAATATTTAGCACCAATATTAAAAAGATACAGGACAACTCGATGGCAAAGTTTGTAAGTTCTGGTATTTATAGATGTTGGGGAAAAAAACAAATACAATGTAAGTGTTTTTGCGGAATGTGCCATGTTTGCGATTTTTCTCTGAAAATTAACAGCGTCGATACTTAAATATAAATATTACGGGTCAATCCTCTTTATATATAGTTTGTGAGTAAATATTTCTAGACCTGTAGCCCGATAGCTTTTTGGGAGAGGTTCCCGAAACGCCAACTTCGCGCAGTTCGCAAAAAATTGCTTCGCACTGAGAGTGTGCTTCTAATTTTTTCCGCAAAGACAAACATCTTTTTCGAAAAACAGATTTTGGTTTTGTTTTGATGAGCATATATTCGAGAAAAAATACTTTTTTTCGTAAAATTTAAAAATGGTCACCGGAAATGGTCGGCGAAACTTATCTGAAAACACCCAAATGCGATTTCGTGTCGCAAATAATTATTCGAAATAAATCATTTTGCAGTGCAACACGGTAATGAGAAGTCAAGCTCTAGATACAGAAGAGGCCGAATAAATATAATGGCAAGCTTAATTTAGTTTTGTCATTTTGTCGATTTTGATCGCAAACATTACTCGGTAGTTATTACTTCATCCTAGTACTAAATTAGTAATTGCTATCGTTCTGTTTGTGATATAGCTGGAACAGTATTAACAAGTGAGGTCCCACCTTACTCCTTCGTGTCTCGAATGTCAAAGTTGAAGAGTGAAAGCATTGCAAAAAAAAAAAAATTGCTTAAAAAGAAAAAGAACACGAGGCTTGCTTGATGCTAATTTAACTATCCCCTAACAAAAAAAAAAAAAAAAGGAACGTTGTAATTTCTGCCTACAATGTGTGAATAAACGAAAGAGATAGCGGTAGCACGGTCGCGCAATGAGGGTAGAATGGAGCCGACACGTACCCGAGGACAGAGGTGCGACCTGGTTAATTCTCATAGCCGTCGTGGATGCCACTGACGGCCGCCACCAGCGCTCGGCGATCCGAGAAGTAAGTAGTTAAGCGCGGTGGAAGTTTCTAAAACCATCCAACATTAAGAGGGGGCGCACCTCAGAGCCCCGTAGAGAATACATGAGGTTTTTCACCGAATTAAAAAAATTCTCACATAATAACGGCTGCGCGGATCTTCTTGAAAATTTCGGCTTTAAAGACATTGAGTCATTATCGAGACACTAAGCGCAACAAATGTTTCATCATAAATTTAATTATATTCTTTAAAAAATCATGAAAATGGTCAAAATCGGCTAATTCGGCACTCTTGCGTTCGGAGCGAATTTACAAAATTATCTAAATTCAAACATAAGAACTATTGCGCTTACTGTCTTCTAAATTTATTACGGAATCGAATAATATTCAAATTATTCATGTAAGTCGTTTTGTTCCGTAACTACAGCAAATATAAAGAACCAAGGTGTCGGTGCTTGTTTTCGTCGTTTTTAAGGTACCTCTCTCTCCCGTGCGGTGGCGCTCGCTGTCCACGAAATGCGAAATCGTCCGTTCGGAGATCGGCCGGATCGGCACTGTGCGAGGTGTTCTTCCGCGGCCGTATTCCGCGCCCGTATCCTGTTTCATTCTGCACGCCGAGGCGTCAGTGTGCGTGTCTTGCTTTCCTGGTTCTCGCTGGGTAGGTCTCCGTGTTTTCGCAAGTGGCAAATTCACCTTGGAGCTATGGGTCGAAGACGACCGTCCTGTGGCAAGCGGACCGCGAGGTGTTCCACAACCTCGCGGTCCGTCAACGCGTTGTGCTTGTTTCTACTTTTTTTTTCTTTTAAAAACGGGCTTTTTTTTTTTGACGCAGTTTTATTTTATCGTTATCCTTCACACAAACGTCCTTCGGCCTTGGGGTCGTGGAAATCGGGGATGAAGCGTGCACAGAGTAGATCGTTGTTTTCCTCCTTTTTATTTTTCACGGACGTCCTGTGACCTCCGTACGGTTCGTGGTCACCGCAATCTAACGCGGGGAAAAACGGGTCGCCTGCTCTGTAGTCAGGGTATTCCTAGGGGAGGGTGATAACTCGCTGTTCTTCTGGAAATTCACATATCACCCAAAAAGGTGACATGGGTAATGATTACGGTATATTTTTTCCGGTGTTTATTTTTGAGCGAAAATCGGTGCATGTTTTTCGGTGCTTATTTTTTAATCACCAGTGTATTATGGGTCGAACGTCTTGTGATGACGCTAAAAAGCATTGATAACCAAAGAAAAATGCGATTGGACAAGAACATTTCAAATTTCCAATTCTATTCACATATCCATTACGCTCTTCTCGTGGGAGCATCTATCCTGACGAAAAATGCCTAAGTCATTGAGCTGTGAACGCATACTCAGTGTACAATCTTTCGGCCTAGAGAGGTATTGCGCACGCTCGAACGCGCTTCACAGCCCAGTAGACGAAGTTGGTGGCACCCAGAAGGCGAGTTTTTGAATGGTCTGTGGTAGGCAAAAGAAACAAATAACAATCAACGCATATCAGCTCTTCAAGCGAAGAGGCGCGTTTCTAAGGTCAATGGTTCCGGACGGCACTAATGTTGTTGGCGTTGTCGTAAGATGACGTCAGTTCATACGAACTGACGTCATCTTACGTGATCACGTGACACAAACACGTCATCTTACATGATCTCGTTACACGAAATGACGTCATCTTACGTGATCACGCTGCACGAAATGACGCCATCTTACGTGACCACGTAACAAGTCATCTTGTAAGTCAACCTCTCCCCATAGCAGCGCGCTCCGCACTTTCCGGGCCCGTGCAGTGCTGCAGTCGAAAGCAAGCTCCCTATGGCAAGCGAAAGCTTCTGAAGTCTCACATTGAGAATACTCGCAAGCGACCGTCTGTGGAAGCTTCGTACGTTGAGGTTTTTGTTGAGATCGAGCCATCGTGTTCCATTAACTATAGTTGAAGTTATCGTTCAATAAAGCCCTATAAAATATGAATGTAGTTGGTGTAGACATCAAGATCTAATCAAAAATGCGGTTTGACGTCGTTTAATTAACGTGTATATACAAGTGTAGAAAAAAATGAGTTATTTGTGCATAGATGTTTAAAGAAGTGTTTATTATTCGACATAGGACTTTGGGAGAAGGATGTGTTCAGATTTTTCTTCATGAGCGCAAATATACCTGACGCAATAAATAGTGACGATTTCATCGTCCCAGTGGTGAGCAGGTGATTTCTTGCTCGAAACAATGATGCCATTTCATAAACCAAGTTCTGTGACATATGCTTTTCCAATGTCTGGTCACTATTTTGTAAACCTTTCAGTCCAAACGAGTATACTTTTGTTTGTTTTTGTTAGCTTAGGAGGGGGTCACAGAGCCTATCTTTTTGTCTTCCTCTAGGACAGACGTACAGAGTTATACCGCAACACGCATCTGTGGAGCACACAGATCTATCGCTCTCCTGTTGGCGGTACAGTAGCAGACGACACAACGCAGCTCCGTAGTCTATCGAGGGCACGGCTAGCCGCGGCCCGTAGCGCGACCGTTCAGACTAGGGAAATGGTTTTGAAGAACCGAGAAACGGTATTTTGTGTACAATAATCACATGTCGTTAGTATACTAGTATTCTACTTGCTAAGCCAAATAAATATTTGCAGCTTGTGAGAATATGTTTGCGTGACGATTTACCGTTCACACTCCTGACGGATGTTAGCGAATCCTTCATGTTCGTGGCTCGCAGTTTTCGGTACCCCCTCGGAGTGACTTCACCATATATATTTTTTTCTTGCTTGCAGGACATCATAAAAATCACAAACACGCGAGAAAAAAAAAATCTTATGAGTACGCGTGATTTTGAGCTTCGCAGCTCTAAAGATGCCCGGTAAATGTCGTCCAGCTTGAGAAGAAACTAATCCTTTTTGTTGGAGTTTGACTATCGTATGCTGGCAGCTCGTTTCCGGTCTGTTTTGTCTATACTCCGTTTCACCGTAATTTGGCA